ATTTATTTGTTCCTTTTTAGTTATACAAATCCTTTCTGACATAACTTAGCCATAATTAATTCTGATTCCATGAATAGAGAAATCCATGAAAGGAGCTTACAAGACACAGATGGGGTTAGGACTGTTCTTTGTCATCTTCAGCCTCCGGACTTCCATAAACAACAGAAAAATAATAGCCAATTGTCTTAAGTGTGAGGCCTGGAAACCTGTGAGAGCTTCTGGGATGCAGATCAATCTTAATAAAAGGCCATTGCATTGTCTGTGCAGCTACACATTCTTCCCATCCATCCCCAATTACACAGAAACGGATATTCTGATTATCATAGCGTTCCTTGATCCATTTGAAACATTGCAGTTTACCAACCTCCCATGAGCTGTATACTGAAAAAAATAATCACTGAAAATTACCAGATCCCTCAAGAAAAGAGCATAAAAGCCAGAAGGGAAATGTTGCACTGGTATATAAGATCCATATGTTAAACCCTAGTAAATATAACAAAAAACTTTCCTATGAAAGACCATCACATCTTCATGCAGTCCCACGTAAATGTATCAAATGTGAAGTAATATATTCACTATTGTACATTAACTTTTCATGAAAAATACACCTGCAATTTACACTTTATAAGTTAGCACAGACTAAGAATGTGGAATTTAACAGCGCTAGTAGTTCATATTCACATCTCAACACAAACCTGTTCACATTCAAATATCGCTGTGCATGCAACTGAATTATCTGTTTCTTGTAAAAATAACAAAAACCTATTAGAAGGATGAATTGTTGCATTTCTCGGGCATGATATAAGAATGCAGAAAAAGTTCAGAGATGAAAAAGTTATGACTGCTTGAAATTTTGTTGCTCTATTCTTTCTTTTTTAACTTTTTTTTTTCCTTTTCTCCTTAGAACTCCTGATTCTAGCGGTTCTTTGAAACTTTCATTTGGCTGGGGAGATACAAAAGGTTAGACATCAAAACTGGTGCTATTCAAGATAGCTACAGCTCCTGATGCCAAGCAATTATGTCTAATCCACAATGACGAGCATTAAGACCAACCAAATGACAGTTGCAAAGACTATATTTTATCAGGTATCAGAAACAATTACTGAATGCATATTTTATTCAGAAGCAGTCTTGTTAACAATGAAGAATCACATAATTTATACGGTGAATATAAATACTAACATGACTTGTATAATGCTACTAACTGAATAATAAATAAAAAGCCTATTGAAATAGAATAACTACAAAAACTCCTAAT